TCATTGGCCTGTGAACCGAACGTCTGACCGCAGAGCTGGGGTGAAACTCGTTGGCCGATCTTGAGCCCAGATTTGTAGTCCATGACCTGTCTTGACCGGGTGACAAGGCTGTCCGCGTTGGACCGGGAAGTGACAGTCCACCGGGCGTCAGGAGAGGAGTCTTGTGTGACCTGACCTGACCTGACCTGACCTGGCGGCAGAGCTGGCCGCCCTGGAGCGTGACCTTTGGGCGCTGGACGACCGGCTGGACTTCGCCAACTTCCGTCGGCTGGTGTGGGACGTCACGGCCGAGCTGTGCCCCCTGCTGGAACCGCTCTGCGCGGCGCAGCTCATCGACCAGCTGTTCCAGTTTCTCGAGTGAGTCTCAGTCCCGGCGCTGGCCCGGCGCTGGTCCCGGCGCTGGTCCCGGCGCTGGTTCTGACGCTGGTCCTGACGCTGGTCCTGACGCTGGCCTCGGCGCTGGTCCCGGCGCTGGTCCCGCCGCTGGTCCCGACTCTGGTCCCTGCGCTGGTCCCGGCGCTAGTCCGGTGCTGGTCCTGACGTTTGTCCCGGCGCTGGTCCTGACGCTGGCCCCGGCGCTGGTCCCGGCGCTGGTCTCCGCCGGGAGAGCAGCTGCCGTGTTACCACGAGCCGGACTCTGGCCTGGGCCAGCGTGTTGGATGCCACCCGTGTGATCCACTTTTGTAAAAAAGCTTACCTTCGTGGCTGTGGCGAGCTCGTGAGTATTTCTCGATCGGCCCCCGGTTGTGGCAACAGAAGCGTGGTTCGGTGATCCACCGCCAGGGGGTGGTTCGTTTCAATATGCGAGCTGACGATTTGGTCGTGCGTGCGGACATAGCACTGCGTCGCGGTGGAGGTTCCGGGCGGTGACGTCACGCGGCCCCGCTGACGGACCTCCCGCTTTGCAGGGCCTGAGTTCTTCTCGAGCGACATGAGCTTCGCCAAGGCAGCAGGACCTGCTGGACCGGAAGAGGCCGGACGAGCCAGCGCCGCCCTTCAAGAGGAAGACCCGCGCAACAGCCCTGCCCAAGGACGATGACGCAGAGGAGGAGGACGAGGAGGAAGAGGAAGAGGAGCGTCCGCAGAAGAAGGACGGCGGCAAAAAGAAGGGCATCGTTCAGTAAGTACTCGCTCGTCTAGTTCTGTGATAATGAGAAGGTATCTGTTCACAAGGAGCATTCTGAGGCCTACTTGTCAAATGCAAACGGCCGTTGTATTGAACTTAACCTCCCTCCGCCTCTGCCGCCAATGCATCAGAGAGTAACATCCATCCATTCTGGTCCTATTTGTATCGGCCGATCCTTCCTGGAAGTGAGACGTGGCCTCATCTCACATGTACAGTTCCGCTCCGCCTGAGCCCCGTCCCACCGCCCCGTGGTGTGTGGGGCGTGCTCGTCAACAGCGGTCTCCCCTTCTCTACCACTCCCGCTCCCTCCGTGTGCTGACGGCCGGCTCTTCGGCAGGACACTGTGCGTCCACCTGGCCGTCGTCTCCAAGATGACCAGCCTCCGCCGGTCGGAGCGGGCGGCCGAGCTCTTCACCACCTTCCTCCACTTCCTTACGCACAAGCGCTCCGACGTGCAGAAGGTGGCGCTGGAGTGCGTCTACGCCTACAAGACCAAGGGCCTCAACCCATACAGGTGGGGCGTGCGGCGCGGCCAGCGGCGGCTTGCGCAGGACGGCCCGACAGGATGGCCGATGCTTCTGCATTGCCAGGGGTTTCCTGATAATTCAGGGAAATAGGTGGAAGCCTGTTAATGCTTTGACATCAGGGTTGCTGGATCTGGATTTCACTTTTGCTCCGACACTATGATTTTGACGACACGCTACCTCTCCATGATGAAATTTATTGCTTTTCGCGTACGGTGCAAGTCAACAATTATCGAAGGTCATTTCTGCTCACTGTAAGCAGTAAAAATCAAAAGATGCGGGGACGAGGCAAAACGTCCAGGAATAGAGCGACATAAGTCGTTAAATGAAATATATTATAACCAGTGCAGTAGTCAACAGAAAATGTGGAAAAAACGTTGATTATCGAACTGGGTCGCCGGAAGATAGACGCCGCTATACACGGCCTCCGTGTGGTGGCGCGCTATCACAGGCTGACCTGACCTGGGTGAGTGCGTTGCACAGGGAAATGCTAGTTCGGCCTTCTGGAGGACACCAACTTCAAGACAAAGCTGACCAATCTCAGCATCGACGCAGAGGCGGGCATGCTGAAGCCGGAGGACAGACAGCACGTGCTGCCCGTGCTGACCCGGTGAGACGCCGTTACCGCCTGGGCGGGCGTGTCACCCGGTGAGACGCCGTTACCGCCTGGGTGGGCGTGTCACCCGGTGAGACGCCGTTACTGCCAGGTGGGCGTGTCACACGGTGGGACGCCGTTGCCGCCGGGGCGGGCGTGTCACCCGGTGAGACGCCGTTACCGCCTGGATGGGCGTGTCACCCGGTGAGACGCCGTTACTGCCAGGGTGGGCGTGTCACCCGGTGAGACGCCGTTACCGTCAGGGTGTGCGTGTCACCCGGTGAGACGCCGTTACCGCCGGGGCGGGCGTGTCACCCGGTGAGACGCCGTTACCGCCGGGGCGGGCGTGTCACCCGGTGAGACGCCGTTACCGCCGGGGCGGGCGTGTCACCCGGTGAGACGCCGTTACCGCCTGGGTGAGCGTGTCGTCCGGTGGGACGCCGTTACCGCCGGGGTGGGCGTGTCACCCGGTGAGACGCCGTTACCGCCGGGGCGGGCGTATCACCCGGTGGGACGCCGTTGCCGCCTGGGTGAGCGTGTCGTCCGGTGGGACGCCGTTACCGCCGGGGCGGGCGTGTCACCCGGTGAGACGCCGTTATCGCCAGGGTGGGCGTGTCACCCGGTGAGACGCCGTTACCGCCGGGGCGGGCGTGTCACCTGCTCAGAGCAGCGGTGACATTCGGCTCGGATTTGCGGGGTCAAGTCGGGCACCGTCAGACTGGGTCGGCTCGCAGAGATCCTCCGGAAATAGTGTGGTAATGCTAAAGAACGTGAAACTCATGTAGTGTGTGCTTTAGTTCAGCATTCTCGTCGAAGTACCTCGGTACGCGGTGGCCCGGCGGCTCAGACTGGCCCGAGTTGTAGCCTGAAGGAGCAAGGTCGCACCGGACACGGCGAGCCCTGAGGCCATGTCTGTGTTCCTGGCTCCCTTGGCGGCCGGTGCGCTGCAGTGCGGCCCGTGTTTCTGTGCTGCAGGATCCTGTACGGGCGCATGCGCACCAGCACGGGGAAGGGCGCTGCCAGCCGAGATAACAGCGCCGCGCGCCGCCGCGTCATCGTTGGCTTTCTGGTCGGCTGTCAGCCCGACGAGATCGACCAGTTCCTCGATCTGACGCTAGGGGCGCTGTCTGCGCACGTCAAAGGTAACTCCAGAACGACGTGCCTATGGAAATGTAACACTAGTTTGTGAAGTTCTTATTGTCATTTTATGAAATACATCGAGGTGCTGTTTGACTTCCCGCAGTCGATGCGCCAAAAACCCCAGATCATCATAAAATCATGATGAAATCCATGTACAGTTACTCACCGCAGCTGCCTGCGTATCTTTGCGCCGTGTTTCTTGTGACCCATCCGTCTGCAGCACCTGCCCGGACCTCCCGCCCGCGTTACGCAGCGTCCCGCCCAGACCCCGTCTAACTCCGCCGCGCTGTCGCCAGATGACGCGGTGCAGATGGTGGAGGCGGTGCTGGCAGGCGCGGACGTGCAGCGCGCGCTGCCGCTGCGCCAGCTGCAGAGCTCGCTGCTGCTCATCACAGGCCGTGTTCTTCAAGCTGGGCCGGCGGCTGGCGCCCAGCCTGCCGCGCCTGCTGCGCCTCATGCTGTGCGCCGCCGCGCACGTGGCCGGCCTGCTGGCGCAGCAGGAGCGGCTGCCCGCCTGGCACGTGCGCACGCTGAAGAAGGTGAGCGGAGGCGGCCCCGCCCGGCCGTCGGGGGATCGAGCTGGCGTCGGGAGAGGTCGCGTGGCGTGCGAGGTTTCTCGCCGGGGAAAGCGGGCGAAGCGGACGCGCTCGATCGTGCCCGGTGTCTCGGCTCCCCGCACTTGACGAAAGCCAGGTTATGTTTGCTGCCGGAATTAGCGACGAGTGGCACGACGTGACTCCGCCCGCACCGTCTGCACGACAACGCTGCAGACCGCTGGTCCAGCACTAAAGGACCAGTCTGGACGTGCAGCACGGCTGCTGGCCGAGCCACGTTGACCCTACGCCGCTGTGGTGTCCCGTAATGGCGGACCCTCGCGCGCTTGCAGATCCGCGTCATGGTGCTCTCCTGTCTGGGCGACATGTTCGAGCGGTTCGACGCGCACCAGTGGACGGCCCGGGAGACGGACGCCGTCTTCCTGGCCTCGGTCTGGCCGTCGCTGCCGCGCCTCACGCAGCAGTCCACCACGGCGCCCACCTGGCCTGCTCAAGCTCTTCCTCGTCTGGGCGGGCAACGCCAGGTACGGGAGCTGCAGGCGAGACGCGAGGCAGGGCGAGGCGAGGCGAGGCGAGGCGAGTGCGGTCGGATTGCTGTAACAGATGATGGTTGACGCAGTTTCTAACGCATTCCGCGCGAATGCGCTCAATTGCTGACGCTGACAGACCCTGCGGTATGCGGAGACCGCGATGCATGGAAAAGCTCAGTTTTCCGCGCGTGAGTGCTTGTTCAGGCGAGGCGGCACCACAGGTAACCACGAGGCGGCACCACCGGCACCACCGGTAACGGTGGACAACTTACAGCGTGGCTCAGCGGCAGGTAGACCCCCACGTTTGCTGGGGGCCCACGTGTGCTCCGTCTCAGCGCCAGCGCGTCCATCCCCGAAGCACTCCGCTAAAGCAGAGACGGGCACATCCCTGCTGCCTGTTCCGTCCCGCCGACCACACCGTCACCGCCCGCGCCATTCCCGTCGCCGGCTGACGCCCGGCGCCGCCGCAGGTACTACCCTCTACTGGCCAAGGAGTCGGCGGACGGGGCGCGACTGTCGCCGGCCGGCTGCATGCTGGCGCTGCTGACGGTGCGCGGCTGCCACGTGTCCGTGCTGCGGGCCGTGGTGCGCGCCGCCGAGCAGCTGCTGACGCCGCCGCGGCCCGCCGCCGACCCGGCCGACGCGCCGCCGCCGCCGCTGCAGGTCACCGGCGTGCCGGAGGTGGACGAGCTGGGCACAGGTCAGTGGGGCATGGGCACGGTGCGGGAGGCGAGGAGATCAGGAGTGAGCTCGCCTCTCACGTGGGGCGGGATATGCCGGCGTTTTACTTCGTCGTCGCTCAACTTGTTGAATTCATGAATGATGGTGAGTAAACGATGAGTGGGTTTGATTGTCATGTTACGAGTTTAAAATTGTCATGTTGATTAAACGACCTTCATTATACGGGAGGGTACTGGTGAAACGGCGTTGTGATGGTAAATAACGATGAAATTGACGGCCAATATAATCATTGTTATATAATCGTGATTTCGCAATGTAATCGTTATAATCGTATCGTTCAATGCAGCTCAATATGACCGTCATTATTATCGTTCTTTATCTTAGATCCGTGTAACCAGTACTTCCTGTTATATTAAAGGTTGTTAACTCAAAATAGTATTTTCAACTCAAAATACCGAAAAACCAAGAGTAGAAGCATTTGTTTCCATTAGCAAGTGTTTTTCATGTGTTTGATCGTTGTTTGGATAATACTGTCTGCTCACCGGGCACATGTTAACATTGACTCGCTGCCACCACTTGACTGGTGCCGCCCGGCCGCCGCTGCCTGTGCCGTTCCATTCCTCACGCCGGTCGTGCCGTGTCGCCAGTGACGGGCGCAACGATCATCTCGCGCCACGTGGAGCCGCTGCTCACGTACCTGCGCGGCCGGCTGGAGACGGCCGGCGCCGGCCGACTGACAGCCGCTGAGTTGGCCGTGCTCGCCGCCGTCTGCCGGCTGGAGGCGGCGCCAGCGCGGCAGCACGCCGCCGCGCTGGCCGCCCTGCTGCTGCCCGTGCTGGCCGCCGCCCGGCCGCCGCCCGAGCTGCGCCAGCGCCAGCTGCTGGGCACGCTGCGTCACCTGCTGACGGCGGCGGAGCAGCCGGCACAGTTCGTCAGGTCAGCGGACGCGGGCAGGAAAGCGCCTGATGTGTTCCCTGTAGCCGCCTGTTGGTGCTGCTGGAGATTTCCTGTGAACTCCTTCAGCTGTCCCCTGAACTAGCCATACCATAGGCATTCCGTAGGACTGGTTTATTCATCATCCTTTTTTCTTTATTGTCGTCACTCGTATTCGTTTGCTTGTTTGTGTTTGTCGGCGGTAGAAAGCTAAGCCAGTGACGTGGGATGCCGTATCGCTTGCTCCGTGTTTAGCTGTGTCCTGCGCTCACCATCTAACCTGGCTGTCCGCCCCGCCGGCCATCCGCGCGCCTCGCCGTCCGCCTCCCTCGGAGACCGTGTTCTGACGCGCCGCTGCCGCCAGACCTCTCTCGGCGCTCTTCTCGCACCTGCCGAGCCGCGAGAGCCACCTGGCGGCAGGCCGGCTGCCTGCACGCCATCGGCGAGCGCGACCCGGCCGTCCGGCCGCACGCCGCCATCGTGGACGAGCTGAACGCGATGGCGGCGCGCCAGGTGGACGAGCCCGACTTCGACCGCCGGCTGGTGGTGTACGGCCAGGTGAACGAGCGGCTGCGCCACGCCGAGCGGCTCGAGGACGACCTGCTGCGGCTGGTGGTGCACAACTGCCTCTGGTCCGTCGAGCACGTGAGTGCGGGCGCCGACGACGGGGCCGCCGCGATGAGTCTGACTCGCAGCGAAGCGGATCGCTTGAATGATTGGGAGACTGCTCCTTGGGGCTACTGTCGAGAGGTGTCCGCCGTTTTTGACGCGTGTCATAACAGTTACGCCACGTGTCATGTGCGTTCACAAAACTTATAGCGTTTTGGGGTGCATGCGTTTGTGTTCACCTTACAGTGTTTCGGCATGGCCTGTGTTTGCGTCAGCAGTATGTTGGCGTCATTGCGTTGCGTACCTAAGTCTCTTGCTTCGATTTGGTTCTTGTTTACGCCGGTAGTGTTACGATCTCGGCTGTCGTCTCCTGGGAGCCAGCAGTGCCCGGGCGCTAGTTTTAACCCAACAGTGATTGAATACCAGCAGTCGGTCTGCTGTCCTGACTGTCCGTGTCTGCTGCGGTCTTTTATTAACACCGCTCTCTCGCCCTCTGGCCGGCAGGAGTCGGACCTGGCACTGCGGGACAGCTCCACCTTCTGCCTGCAGGAGGTGGCGCGCACGGTCGGCCGCCTCTTCACCGCCGGCCCGTCGGCGGCCGCCTCGTTCCTCTCCTCGTGCCTGCTGCCGGCACTGCGTCTGCGCCTGCGCAGTCGCTCGGACGAGCTCCGGCACGAGACGGTGGCCGTGCTGCAGGTGGCCGTGCTCGCCTGCGGGCCGCACGTGCCGAAGCTGGCCGAGCTGGCGCAGCTCGGCGACCCGGCTGATGCCGAGCGCGACTTCTTCGAGAACATCCGCCACATCCAGGTGCACCGGCGCACGCGTGCGCTCAAAAGGTGGGTGACCGACGGATGGGGTGGCGGTCCCATACGGTGGGTGACCGGCCGATGGGGTGGCGGTCCCATACGGTGGCTGACCGGCGGATGGGGTGGCGGTCCCATACGGTGGGTGACCGGCCGATGGGGTGGCGGTCCCATGCGGTGGGTGAATGGTGGATGGGGTGGTGGTCTCATACGGTGGGTGACCGGCAGATGGGATGGCGGTCCCATACGGTGGGTAGGTGGTTGGTGCAAGCTGACTCCCTGAAACCTTTCCTCTGACGGTGTTGACGTGTCTTTGGTGCTGGCCAGCTGTTGTGGCTGAGCTGTATCCGCTGACAACGTGGTGCCGTCTGCTACATCGTGCTGGCGCCTTTGCCAGTAACCGAGTGTGAGTTTGCCACGTTTTGGGACGCCTGCAGTAGCAGCTGCTGATCTGGCTGTATCGGTGCCATCTCACCGTATGGCACGTGCCGCTCGTCGTTCGTTACCGCGTCGGTCGACATGGATGTCATTCCCACCGGCGCCGGCGTCTGAGCGCCGGTCGCCGTCACCCCGTCACCGCCTACGCCTCCCGGCCGCCAGGGTGGTGGAGGGCCTGGCGGACGGATCGCTGGTCATCCGCGCCGACGTCATCACCAACTACGTGCTGCCGCTGGCCAACGTCTACCTGTTCAACGACAAGTACGCCAAGTACACGGCGCTCACCGACGCGGCTGTCAGGGTGAGGCACCGGCCGCCGGCGGGCGTGAGGGCGCGGGCTGAGAGGCAGTGGGGCTGCAGGCGCCAGTGTTTGAGGTGGGAGGGATCAAAGTAATATGTGCTCCGATCTAGAGTGTGGGGTTGGTAGTGCTGCGTTGACGAGTCAGTGCGGTTCGTGGGGATTCCGCTGCAGCTAAGTCAACCTCTGGCCACGCTTCGTGCCGTCGCGATGGTGACGTGGAGTCGCTCTGTCGGTTTCTCCGCTCCCGTCGCTCGTTTCCCGGCTGCGCCTTTTCATGCCGGCTCTTCGCCGCATCTCTCCCCTCCCCCGACCCCCTGACCCTCTGCCTCCCGGCAGCTGATCGGCCTGGTAGCCTGCCGCATGTCGTGGCACCAGTATCAGACGTTCCTACGCCACTATCTGGCGCTGCTGCCCACCTGCCCGCGCCAGCGCGACGCCGTCAAGGTGCTGGTGGCCGTGCTGGACGCCTTCCACTTCGACCTGTCGCTGGTGACGCCCGACGTCACCATGAGCATCATCAGCGCAGCGCGCTCCGACCAGCGCGGCTGGCGCACGCAGCAGGCGGCCGGCGCGCCGGCCGACGCCGCCGGGGATGGGGCGAAGAAGGACGGCAGCGCCGCGACGGGAGAGGCGGCCGGTGAGGAGAAGACGGCCGCTGGTGGGGATGACGCCGCCGCGGCGGGGAAGGAGACCGCTGTGGCGGAGGAGACGGCCGGGGCGGAGGAGGTCGCCGAAGAGCCGGTGGAGCCGGCAGCTGATCGAGCTGCCGGAGGAGGAGCCGGAGCCGGAGCCGAAGCAGCAGCAGTCGGCGGCGCCGGGGGCGGCGGCCGGCCGATCCGCCGAGCTCATCTGCCGCACACTGATCCGCGTCACGCTGCCGAGCCTGCACGCCGGCCTGGTGCGCCGCGCGCGCGGCGACGAGCAGCACGCGCTCAACCGCACCCTGCAGCCGGACGAGGAGCGCGCCCAGCGCCTGCCGCTGGCGCTGGCCATGATCAAGCTGCTGCAGAAGCTGCCGCCCGGCATACTGGAGGCCAACGTCGCCAGGTGGGTCGCGGCGGAGCGTCGGAGACGGCGGCCGCCGACTGGGCCGGTGAGCAGGGTACTGGGGATGAGCAGGGTACTGGGGGTGGCCCGGGCTGACTACGGCCGCCGACTGGGCTGGTGAGCAGGGTACTGGGGGTGGCCCGGGCTGACTACGGCCGCCGACTGGGCCGGTGAGCAGGGTACTGGGGGTGGCCCGGGCTGACTACGGCCGCCGACTGGGCTGGTGAGCAGGGTACTGGGGGTGGCCCGGGCTGACTACGGCCGCCGACTGGCTGGTGAGCAGGGTACTGGGGGTGCCCGGGCTGACTACGGCCGCCGACTGGGCGTTGAGCAGGGTACTAGGGGGTGGGGCCCGGGCTGACTACGACCAGCCGACTGGGCTGGTGAGCAGGGTAACTGGGGGTTGGCCCGGGCTGACTACGACTGGCCGCACGCCGGGGCTGGTGAGCAGGGTAACTGGGGGTGCCCGGGCTGACTACGGCCGCCGACGGGGGCCGGTGAGCAGGGTACTGGGGGTGGCCCGGGCTGACTAGACGCCCGCCTGGGCTGGGTGAGCAGGATACTTGGGGGTGGTTCGGGCTGACTACGACCGCCGCCTGGGCTGGTGAGCAGGATACTGGGGGTGGTTCGGGCTGACTACGACCGCCGCCTGGGCTGGTGAGCAGGGTACTGGGGGTGGCCCGGGCTGACTACGGCCGCCGACTGGGGACCACTTTTGTCAGATTTGTGATGCCTTCGTTGAGTTCCATGCGCTGCCCGGGCTTCCGCCCTTATCCGAATCACGCAATATAAGATCATTTCGTAGTGATATGTGATGAAGGGACTGTTGACTGGTCGTGGAGTAACCGGTATACATGCATGTGGCTCGGGGATGGGCTGATACTTGCTCGGTGACCGCAGTCGCCTGCCGTCGCATGTCTCCGATCAGGGTGTCTGCAGTGTCTAAGTGCGGCCCGGGCTGGACTGACCACCCGCCCCTGACCTTCTTCCCTTTGCGGCAGCGTGCTGGTGCGCGTGTGCGAGCTGCTGCGCTCGCGCACGCCGAAGCGTGCGCGAGGCGGCGCGCGACACGCTGCTGCGCTGCCTGCGCGCGCTGGGCGCCGCCCACCTGCCGCTGGCGCTGGCCGAGCTGCGCGCCGCCTCGGGCCGCGGCTACCAGCTGCACGTGCTGGTGTTCACCACGCACGCTCTGCTGCGCGGCCTGGCCGACCTTGCTGCGGCCCGGCGACCTGGACGCCTGCGTCGCCGGCGTGGTCGAGGTGAGCCCGGGTGGCGGCTACGCGGCTGAGGACGACGGGCGGTTACGGTGGTGGGGTGTCGTTAGCGCGCTGTGCTGCGTGTTGGCACCGGGTTGGCGCCTTGTGCCGACCCCCTGAGGTAGATACTTTTTGGCCATGCTGTCAGTTGAGCACTGTGCTGTGCGTCGTGCAGACAGCCTCGAAACAATGCATAATTTAGCCAGGCTGAATTGAGTGGTTGGTAAGCTAGTTCAGTTGGTTTAATTATAGGGGCAACTCGATGGATGAACTGAGGGGAACAAAAATGTCTGGAGTGTGTTCCGTACCCGCACGGAAATCTGGTGTGAGCGAACATCCGCAAATTCGGCGTACTGTGACAGCATCGTTGCCGACTTTCCACCGACGCCAGACACCGCTGACGCCGTTGTCCGCCCGCCAGACGTGTCACATGGAGCTATTCGGGATGACGGCCGAGGAGAAAGAGGTGCAGAAGATCACCTCCAAGACGGCCGAGGCCAAGGGCGTCAAGAGCTACAAGATGATGCACATCCTGGCCAAGTTCATCACCGAGTCGGCCCTGTTCAGCCTCATCCGACCGCTGCAGGAGGTGGGCGGCGAGTGGGGCGACGCACATCAGCGGACGTTGGCGCGCCGCTCCACGTTCAGCGTCGAAATCACGTGAATGATAGCGTTCTCCTGTCTGGCGCCGCCGGCCAGCAATGTCCTTGGTTGGCCGGTATTCATACGCTCCCTCCTGAAGCCCCCGGGTGTCTTCAGTGTGGGACGCGCCCAGTATCACCCACTACCGTTTGACCGTCTATGCGGAGTCCTCTGACTCAGTGGAAGGGACGTGACATCACGCTGCGGTGGAAGCGTTGCTGACGCCGGCTGATTGGCGGGCGGTACCTGGGTAGTAAAATGACGCCATGGTTACCGACTAGTTTGGGGGATTTACCAACAGCTGGAGATGTCATGTCTTTTGCTCAGCGGAAGCTCTCCTCCTCAATCTCACCTGAACCCAAGACACAGACTTCCAGGCTAATAATGACAATAGTTTCACGCGTCGAGACGTAACTGTGACATCAGCCCTGACACCCCTCCTCTCCGGCAGTGGGCGCTAACCTCGCGCTCGGCCAAGTCCACGACCAAAGTGGCCGAGTGTCTGCGTCACGTGTGCAGCGGCTTGGTGGAGAACGGCGAGCTGGCGACGCCGGCGCTGCTCGTGCTCGGCCACGGGCTGATCTCGGAGAGTCTGCCGGCGCCGGGCGCGACGGCGCAGGCGCGGCAGACGCGCCGCCCGCTGCCCGCCTGGCTGCGGCGGCCCGACCCGCTGCTGGTGCCGCCGCCGCCCGGCCGCAGCGGCGCCCCCGCCAAGGTCAGTCCCGGGGCCGGCATGCGCCGAGCTGTCGGCGGAGGAGGGACCCGGGCAGACGCAGGGGGAGGGGAGGATGGGATGAGGCGTCACTTAGCTGGCTGGTGTGATGCCCAGTCGCAATAAAGTAGAATGTGGCGTGGGTGTAAATATCTGTACGTTGGTTGTTCCCGTATGGTGTCTGAAAGCCTCAACAAATTAGCGCTCTCACTCGTGGTCCAAACAAAGAAAAGAAAAACGAGCTGACTCTCAGGCACTTTTATCGTTTTTTTATCGTTGGGAACTTAGGTGCTTTTATCGTAGGTACTTTTATGGTCGTTTACTGGGAGCAGCTCGGCACAATTTGCGAGGCACTGACGCCAGCCGGCGGCGGTGTGGCCGGATCTGACGGTCCCCGGTGCTGACAACAGCGCGCACCGCAGGTTACGGCTTCAGTCAACGCCCACCTGCTGGTCGACTTCGGCCTCCAGCTGCTGGCCTGCCTGCTTCGCAAGGACCGTGTGTCGCCGCAGGAGCACCAGCACCTGGCCATGCTGGACCCTTTCCTGCCGCTGCTGGTCAAGTGTCTGGACGACCCTAACGTACAGGTGAGCGCCGAAGTTGACGCCGACGAGGCGGGAAAGCCGTCCGGGCTGAGAGGCATCGGGCCATGACGCTGACGAGGCGGGGAAGCCGTCCGGGCTGAGCGGCATCGGGCCATGACGCTGACGAGGCGGGAAAGCCGTCCGGGCTGAGCGGCACCGGGCCATGACGCCAACGAGGCGGGGAAGCCGTCCGGGCTGAGCGGCATCGGGCCATGACGCTGACGAGGCGGGGAAGCCGTCCGGGCTGAGCGGCACTGTGCCATGACGCCAACGAGGCGGGGAAGCCGTCCGGGCTGAGCGGCACCGGGCCATGACGCCAACGAGGCGGGGAAGCCGTCCGGGCTGAGCAGGCATCGGGCCAGAGCCGGGGTGACTGCGGATCGCGCAGAGAAGGCGGCCGGTGACGACTGGCGCACGACCGATGGCTGGGTGTCTGCAGAGGCTTGTGTGAGGCGCGGGAGGCGGGCAGACGTGGTGGTCCTGACGCTGCCGTCCCGGCCGCCGCAGCTGGTGACGGTGTGTCTACGCTGCTGGACGCACCTGCTGACGTACCCGCTGCCGTCGCTGCCGTCCCACCTGGCGGCCGTCAGTGGCGCCATCTTCAGCCTGCTGCACAAGTACGCCGTCCCCGGACTGGGCCGAGGCGACAACTTCGATATGGTGGCCGTCGCCTTCAAGGTGAGCTCTCGCCTTGTCGCTTCTGGTTCGGCGCGTGTTGCGATAGCAGCAGCTGGCAGGCTTTGTCACCGCTGCAGACACGTGTCAGTGCTCACCTCAACAGTGTCTGACCAGCGACGGTCCATGCACGCGGACGCAGCAGAACTGACGCATAATCCGACGCGCAATACAGCAGGTAATATGCGCGTATCTGCGTTGCGCCCAATTAAAACACCTTGTCCAGGTGGCGCGTGAAAAAGCGAAGGCCGGCGTGAACTTGACTGGCGTTTTTTGATAGCCTCGCGACTCATTGTCACGGTCGGCTGTCAAAGATCTGTACACTCGGCAGCGTGTTTGGATGCGGGCTTCTCTTACAACGCCACATGTATGCCTACGGGTGTTGAGCAGCCGCCGTTATTTTAGCAAGACCACACCCCTGGACGTCTGCCGATGCCACGACGCCTCCGCCGCTCTGCCCGAGCCGCGACTGCTCACCTTCGCCGTTCTTCTTCAGGCGGTAGCCGTGCTGGTGCGGGACGTGCGCTCACACACCCTGACCGAGGACCAGCTGCGCGTGCTGCTGACGTACGCTGAGCAGGACCTGCTGGACGCCGGCCGCCAAGGCACCGCCTTCCAGCTGCTGCGCGCCGTGCTCAGCCGTCGGCTGCACGCACCCGAGCTGGCGCAGCTGGTGCGCCGGCTGGAGCAGCTGGCCGTGACGGCCGAGGGCGTGCAGCAGCGCGCGCAGGCCCGCTCTGTGCTCATGCAGTACATGCTGGACTACCCGCTGGGCGAGAAGATCAAGCGGCACGTCATGTTCTTCCTGCAGCAGCTGGGCTATGAGCACGAGCCGGGCCGGCTCGCCGCGCTCGAGATGTGCGAGGACATCTGCCGACAGTTCCCGCAGGTAGGGTGACATGAGCACCGGTCGGCAGCTCCTAGGGGTAGTTGAACATCTATCGGCGGTTCCCCCGGGTGACATCTTTTGGCAGTTTTCCAGGCATAGTGGCATCATCCCCGAGCCATTGCTCTGTGTGACCTGGTCTGTCTCGCCTTTTTAAAATTGTCTGCTGACCTGCCTCTCCCGTGCTCAAGAGTCTGCTGAGCTCTCTGGGCCCGCTGCTGCTGCTGTACCTGTCTGCTGACCCTCCTCTTCCCCGCTTCAGGGTCTGCTTGAGCTCTCTGGGCCCTCTGCGCTGTTGTACCTGTTTACTGACCCGCCTCTCCCCCGCTCAGGGTCTGCTTGAGCTCTCTGGACCCGCTGCTGCTGCTGTACCTGTCTGCTAACCCGCCTCTCCCCCGCTCCAGGGTCTGCTGAGCTCCCTGGGCCCGCTGCTGCTGCTGTACCTGTCGGCGCGCCTGGTGTCGGAGCCGGCGCCGGCCTGCCGTCGCCAGGTGGCTGCGGCGCTGGCCGGCCTGCTGCGGCGGGTCTCCTCCGACACCCGCCGCCAGCTGCTCGACATGACGCTCACCTGGCTGCGCGGCGAGGACTCCGCCAAGAAGGTAAAGAGGCAGGGGTGGGCCTTCGGACGCATGGCGCCGCGAACTTGGCCGGGCTCTGGCGTCTCATGGACGCCCGATGGCGGCGTTCTGTATACTCGACTAATGCGCTCAGCTCGTCTTGCTCGGTTGGGAAAGACAGTCCTTTCGGCACAGAGTGACCTGCGCAGTTGAAACCACCTGGCGGCCAGCATTTAATATACGTGGCTTGTGCTTGTCACTGGCCGATCGATTGCACTCATTTCGCGGGACGCAACGTAAGGCCAGCAATTAAAGCGCCCGTAACGTCCGATAATCAATCAGTCTGATACGGACCGTCGGCCCAGCTGTGTCACACTTCCTGAAGGTCCGCTCTACAGCTGCCGCGCGCCGACCGATCGATGTGTCGAGCCGTTGCGTGCCGGTCCGCGTCGGGGCTGGATGTGCCGCACCGCCGCGACGGGACGGCGCCGGGGCTGGATGTGCCGCACCACCGCGACGGCACGGCGCCGGGGCTGGATGTGCCGTAATGCCGGTCCGACTGTGCTGCCTTGAGCCCCGTCTGATCCCGGACGGTGTTTTGGAAGACGCTGTTTACGGCCAGACGATGCGAGATGCAGACTGGGCAGGCAGTGTCCGACCCGTGCATTGTGTCCAAAATGGTTGCCGAGTGTGTGTGTGGGGTGGGGGGGGGGGGGGAGAGTTCGCAAGGCAATGCTTGTGCAGGACGTGTTTGGGGGTTAACTTTTGGGTTGAGTCCTGGATTAGAAGGAAAAATGCGCGTAATCAAAGCGTAGAAATGAAAATATATGGCTTAGGAGGCTCTTCGATGTCGAATCACACATTTCAAATTTGTACAAAGGCCACAGCTTATGATAAAGCCATATCTCTCAAATCGTGCTAGCAGTCCTCAAATCGATACCATGTGGTTTGTGACCTTGAAGGGAGGCGAAATCTGAGCGGAGAGCAGCAGCGAGCGATTGTTCTTGGCTGGGCAGATTCGGCCCCAGGTCGTCTGCTTCACTGAACCGCGCAGATCCGGCCGCAGGTGGTCTGCTACACTGGACTGGGCAGATCCGGCCGCAGATGGTCTGCTACACTGTACCGGGCAGATCCGGCCGCAGGTGGTCTGCTACACTGGACGTGTTCGGTTGTGTGCCGCGCAGGTGGAGCAGGGCCGCATGGCCGCCCAGCTGGTGGGCCTGTTCATCTCCGACCCGGCCGTCAGCGTGCCGGCCTCGGACGTCGACCTGATCCTGCCGCAGATCTGCAGCAGGATGAACCCCGACACGAACGACTTCTTCGGCAGCTCGCCGCAGGTGGGTGGTCTGACGACACCTGTCGCATTCTGTGTGTTGCTGGCAGCGGACGTGCATGCTGTCGCCGCAGCTGTCTGCGGGGCGCCGTCTCACGTTGCCAGTCGCAGTGTAAGTGCCAGGTGCTAAGATGCGAATTCGCCGTTAATATTTCGTCGTTTGAAGCTTTTTTACTCTTATGTCACATTGTAAATCTGGCGATGCCGTGGAACTGGCGAAGGAATGCGCATGTAGCACATCCACGCTGCGTTCTTTTTTGTCCGTCCTTGGGGTGATTTGCCATGTTTGCTGAGAGCCAACCAGTCACCGTCGAGTCACGGTGAGTATGACATGCCTGGGGTCGCTTGACCCTGACCTTGGTTACGGCACGGGATGCGAGCGGCCAGGCGTCTCCGCGTCAAAATAAGAGACGGGGAAAGTCATGCGGTTTACTTTGTTCTGTTGTGTGTCAAGGGAAGGCTCCAAGTGGGAAAAAACCGCCGTGCTGTAAAAAACAACAACGGTGGGGACAGATTGAAGGGATAACTTTGTTTCACTAGTTCTTGTCCCGTCAGGGTTTCGTCGCTGGTGAAGAGTTTCCGCGTGCGCGTGGTCGGAAATCCCGATAACAATATGACTCTTAACTCTAGAAAGACCCCCCCCCCCCTTATTTCCGTGTGGTCGCCACCGCCTGAGCCGTGACGGGGAGTCGGTCCTGCAGCAGACTGAGCTGAGCAGCCGGCCACCGGAGCAGCACAGCGACCACCTGCTGTACCAGCTGCTGTCGGCGCTGCTGAAGCTGCTGACCCGCTGGCCCGAGGTGCTGGCGCCCGACCACCGGCTGGCGCCGCAGCTGACGCACACCTGGGGTCAGTGGCGCCACAGCTGGCCGACTGGTCAGCCGTCATCAATGACGTCACTGCGGCATCGCGGCCCCGAGACACTGAGCGGCCGCAGGCAGCTGCCGGACGCTGCAGTACTGGACTGGTTCAAGCTACTCTGATGCCGTCATTTTGGAAAGTGGAGGCTGGCTATGTACTTGGCACCCGCTGAGGTTGAAGGGTGTACTCTGCGGTGGGACGCCTAGACGGTCGCGTTGTTCACCTGCTGCCTCCGTTGTGCTGTCCCCTTCCGCAGTCACCGCCACCGCAGCGTGCCGATCGGTGACCGTCCCGCCGTCTGATACCCCCCCCCCCCCCCCGGCCAGGTCACGTGAAGCAGTACCTGCTGCACCCGCACGCGTGGGTGCGGCTGGCGGCCGGCCAGCTGCTGGGCTTGCTGCTGGCCCAGTTGGAGCCGGCGGCGGCCGCCGCCTGCCTCACCTGCCCCACCGACGCCGCCGCCGCCGTACCGGCCTACCTGCGCGCGGACACGGCACGCCGGCTGCGGGGACTCTCGCTCGACCTCTGCGTCCAGCTCAGCTCCGAGCTACTCAGCCAGCAGCTGGCCGACCAGGTGAGAGGCGTGGGTCGCCGATCGATGGGAGCTGCTCAGCCAGCAGCTGGCCGACCAGGTGAGAGGCGTGGGCCGCCGATCGATGGGAGCTGAGGCGTGGGCCGCCGATCGATGGGAGCTGTGCCAAACCTGGCCTGTTCTGGCGTGCTCTGTACGTGCTGTGCTCTGTACGTTGATTGTTGTTACTCCACCTCTTCTGTCACTCGTGATGTCGCGCGTTTTTTTCGTCTGTTTCTGGGCACCTTTGTTCGTTTTTAGCCTTATTTTCACCTTTGTTGGCTCTGTTTATCACTCTCGCCTTTGCTCTCATTCTTTTCCTCCTTTTTACCCTAGTTGCCACACCGTCCCCTACCTCCATCCGTTATGTTTTCCTCCCGCGAATGGCAGTGCCTTGCGCATCACAGCAGTCGTTCGAGTGCATGCAGTTCTGCTCCGTCCGCTCTTTGACACATACTTTGCTCCGGTGCAGTGCATCAAGAACCTGGTGTGGGTGGCGAAGGTGCTGATCTGCGCCGGCGCGCTGGACCCCGCTCCCCCGGCTGACACCGGCGGCAAGAGGCCGCGTCGGGACTCAGACGCCGGCGGCAAGCGGGCCCGCCGCGACCACGGAACGTCGGGCCGAAAACGCGCCGACTCGGAGACCTCGCCCGGGGGGAAACGCACCGGCTCGGAGGCCTCGCCCGGTCGGAAACACACCGACTCGCAGCCTGAGGGCGGGCGGCGGAAGCGGACCAGGCTCGGAGACCAACGGCGTCCCGGAAGCGGTCCGACTCCGAGACCGGCGCCGGGCGGAAACGGACCGAGTCCGAGTCGAGTCAGCCTGACGCGGAGTCGGGGCTGAGTCTGCGCTGGCTGACCCGCCGCCTGCGGCGGGAGGTGAACGCCGAGGTGGTCAAGAGTCCACGCATCACAATCCGGGTACGTTTGGCTGAGGCGGGATGATGGCCATGGGCCGACACCTGAGGCACCGCTGGGGAATTTGTGCTGTTGTCATAGCGGGAACGGGGCCGAGCGTATTTCAGGTATCTGCGTTCGTGTCGCGTGTTTCACGAAGTCGCCTTGTGCACCGATCGACATGCGTTGCCATGCGACCCTGTATGTATCACTACGGGAGCGTGTGAAGGCATGTCCATGACCAGTGACCTTGGATCGTGACCATGGCCTTGGGCCGTGACCATGGCCTTGGGCCGTAACCATGGCCTTGGACCGTGAACTTGACCTTAGACCGTGAACTTGACCTTGATCGTCATGTCATGACATGACCGGGCCGTCGGGTGCGGGCGGTGTCGCATCCCGCTGCTTTGTCGTCCCCATCGGTCGGTGTGTCCCCGTGGGGCCCACCCTCGCCCCTCGTCGTGCCGCTTCGACCCCGGACCCTGACCTTCTCCCGACCCACCCGCCAGCGCTCCAGCGTGTTCAAGTGGATGGCGGCCGTGTCGATGTCGCTGGAAGATCAGCTGGCCGCCTTCCTGCACCTGCTGCTGCCGCCGCTGGTGCGCGAGGTCAACGATCCGACGGCACCGCTGGCGCTGAAGACGCTGGCCACGGAGGTGGGCGGCCGATGGGGTGGGGTGGGAAGGGGACGGCTGGTTACGGACGGGACCGTGTCGGGTTGCGGTCGCCCGTTGGCGGGCTGCTGTCTGTGGGCCAGCTGATCGTTTGGTAAGGTCCTGCAGACCCGGAGGAGTTTCAGTGCAGGCCCGCATAGTCGCGTTGACACCGGGGTACGATTGTGCGGGTCCAGTGACGTTCCTCTCCAGTCCTGTTTCCGACACCGGCGTAATTCCGTGCTAAATGTGGTGCAATGGTAATGTGTCGTAGTCTTTTAAGTTTTGATAGCGTGACACTTTCGTAGCCATTTTCACAGCTCTCGCACGACCGGTGTGTCACGATTTAAGATTCCTGATGCAAAATGGCCATTTTACGGGCGACTTCGTGCTCGCATTTGTGCACTTTGCTCATAGTTTCCGTCTGCCATCCGAATGTTCCGCCAACCCTGGTTTTGTCATTTCGGCCTTCATGGCACCATTTGTCTGGGCGATGCTTCCACACTGCGAGGGGCGCCGCGCCCGTGGCCAGGGCGCCGCAGCGGGTGCCCCTTCCCTTCCTCCCCTCCCCCCCTGCTGACCGTCCGCCGCCTGTCCTCTCCCCTGCTGACCGTCCGCCGCCTGTCTCTCCCCTGCTGACCGTCCGCCGCCTGTCCTCTCCCCTGCTGACCGTCCGCCGCCTGTCCTCTCCCCTGCTGACCGTCGCCCCTCCCTGGTCCCCCTCTGACCGTCCCCGCCCTGTCCTCTCCCCCGCTACCGTCCGCCGCCTGTCCTGTCCCCTGATGACCGCCCCACCTGGTCCCCTTCCCCCGCGACCGTCCGCCGCCTGTCCTCTCCCCCGCTGACCGTCCGCCGCCTGTCCTCTTCCCCGCTGACCGTCCGCCGCCTGTCTCTCCACCGCTGACCGCCGCCGCCTGTCCTCTCCCCCGCTGACCGTCCGCCGCCTGTCCTCTTCCCCGCTGACCGTCCGCCGCCTGTCCTCTTCCCCGCTGACCGTCCGCCGCCTGTCCTCTCCCCCGCTGACCGTCCGCCGCTGTCCTCTCCCCGCTGACCGTCCGCCGCTGTCTCTCCCCCCGCTGACCGTCCGCCGCCTGTCCTCTCCCCGTTGACCGCCGCCTCCTGTCCTCTTCCCCGCTGACCGTCGCGCCTGTCCTCTCCCCCTCGGACCGTCCTGCGCCCTGTCCTCTCCCCCGCTGACCGTCCTCCGCCCTGTCCCTGTCCCCTGCTGACCGTCCGCCTCCGTCCTCTCCCTGCTCTGACCGTCCGCCGCCCGTCCTCTCCCCTGCTTGGACCGGTCGCCAGCCTGTCCTCTCCCCCGTGCGTCCGCCGCCTGTCCTGTCCCCTGCTGACCGTTCGCCGCCTGTCCTGTCCCCTGCTGACCGTCCGCCGCCTGTCCTCTCCCCCGCTGACCGTCCGCCGCCTGTCCTCTCCCCCGCTGACCGTCCGCCGCCTGTCCTCTCCCCCGCTGACCGTCCGCCGCCTCTTCGCCAGGTGACGGACCTGATGAAGCGCTCGGTCGGCGTCGAGACGTTCACGGCCGCCTACACGCGCGCTCAGCAGGTGCTCAGCCAGCGCAAGGTGGAGCGGCGCGTGCAGCGCGCCCAGGAGGTAGGTCACGTGACTGACGCGCCGGTCGGACGGGTCGACTGGGCACGAGGCAGATCACGGGACTCACCGCCCGCGGCCGGGCACCCCAGCCAGGGACCTGGCCAAGCTCAGTCATACGGCCGATCATATCAATCTATTTTTTCTCTTGCGCGTCTCTGCTTCTGCCTTTGTTTGTCGACCTTGTGCGTTGACCTATTCGTCGCGCGTCATGCGTCTTTTCTGTCGGTGTCTTACTCGGTTTGTCTTGTCTGTCTGCATGCTCACGTATCTGTCTGCCTCTGGCGCCCTGTCTGCGCTCGTTTGCTCGTATTTGCTGGTGTATGTGTCTGTCTCCTGCCTGTCCATCCGTCTTCCTGTTCGTACGTCTGTCGGCTGTCGGCTCTGTGTCGGTGCTACCTTCGTTCTGCCGTGTTCACTCCGTGCCACTCCGTCAGTCTGTTCTGCTTGTCCCGGCTCACTTCTGGGTCTGTTCCGCTCGTCCCGGTCATCGCCGTGACGTGGCAGATTGCATGGCGCGCGGCCGGTTATGCAACCCCCGCTGACTCACCGTTTGTTGCGTGTTGCAAGTCCGACAATGAGCCATTTCGGCTGGGGTCGGGTAGTGATCTGGAGCGCTCTGCGGCGACGGCTCTGCTGTCCGACACGCATGTTGTTGCATTCCGATGGGTGCGCCCGTGCGTTAAGAACTTATCAGCACCGCTTCGCAACGGCGAGTGTAAATTGATGATGCTTTGCTGATGGATATAGACATGGTCATGTGTGGGATGCTTCATATGAATGCGTTGGATTTTCTTTCGGGGCACTGGATAGTGGTCAAGATGATCAAGCTCCCTTGTCTTGTTTATTTCTCGTTAGAAAGGGACTTGTGTTTTATCAATTATTTTTCAGATAACTAATTTTGTAGTCCTTGCCCAATATAGTACATGCTTATATTAATTGTAATTGCGAATAGAGACATAGGCAGTTATTGTCACTTTCCCGGAAGTTTAACATATGCCTTAAATTTGTGGTTGAAAGACGGCACATTTCTGACGTGAAGGCGATCTTCTCCCGCACATTTCGATCGGATTAGTATCGCTGCCCGAACACGTGGTGCGGGCACTCGGTTGATTTCTGTTTTCCCCGAAGCGCAGCGTTCCGCCCGTCCGGCGCCGTTGGTCGTCTCTCTTGTGCCGGGTCTCATTTGTCCCAGCCCGGCAGGCCTGGTCCACAGCTGGCCTGCCGCTGCCGTGTGGTGCGGTTTGACCGAGTCCGTTGATCGCCGTCCGGTCCGGATCGATCCGTCTCAGTCCGGTCCGGTCACGTCCGGTTTAATCCAGTTCGGCACTGCCCTTCGGCCCGGACTGGGGTGCTACCGTTCCAGGCCCATGCAGTCTGTCGGTTTGCCGGGCAGGGAAAGCCCCGTGTGGTCCGCTGCGGTGTGGCGCGGTTCCAGCCGCGCGGCACACCCCCGCCCACTCCGGCATGTTCCCCTCCGGCCGGCGCGGTTGGCTGTCGTCATCACGTGCCGTGGCATCGGACCACCGAGAGCGTCGATGGGCCGGTATCGACTGACGAACACGGGGGCGCCGCGTGAGCCCTCCCGGCGGCACGTGGGGCCGGCACCGGCCAGCGGCCGCTGCTGCACCGCCGCTGCCGCCTCAACACCGGCGAGGGGCCGGCGAGGCGGCTCGCCCGCGCTGTTCGCGTCTGGAGTGGCATGCTTGCGATTGGGGAATGCTTGGCCGGATAGTTTTGACGGGTTTCTAGGGTGCGGCAATTAACCCGTGGCAATTTGCCGATGATGCCTCGGTAAATCAGCGTGGTAATCGGCAGTAATTAGGCGTTCAAAGACAAGGACTGATACCCATTGATAAGCTTTAAGTGCTTGAGGAAAACACCACACATCTTCAAACATGTTTTTCTGACGCACTGACTTGGTGTGCACTGTGAACTTCTTGCCCCAAGGTGGATGTGCAGAAACAGACTGGGTGTCCGTTTTCTGAGAAATGATATGACGCGGTTCTCGGCATTCGTCGATTGATTTGATATCGACATCTCAGGGAGCTTAGCTGTAGAACTGTATCTACCGTGATTAACCGTAAAGCCGTATCCGCCGTAACTTCCATTGCGGCCCTAAGCCTGCTGGGAACATAGCAGTGATGAGTATCGCAGCGATCGAGCGACCCCTCCGGGACTGCACGACACCCGCTCGCCGCCACGTGAGGGAGACGGCGAATGGCGCGCCCGCTCTGCAGTGCGGCAGACGTAATCGGGAGGTGGTGGCACGAATCTGACGCGCCATGTGGTTGGCGGGCCCTGTCGGAGCAGCCTCATGAGAGGTGTCGACGCTGACGGCCGGAACAGCGTGTTACAAGCGGTGATGAACAACGCACAGGTGGCGTGCTTTTGGCAACCGGCGTCCCGCCTCGCCCAGTGCGCTATTGGGTGCCTCTCCCGACGTCGGCTGGCCTTTCCATGTGGTCAGTTACTTTAGCAGGCGTGTGTATGTTCGCTGTTGTCTTTGAAAGAGCCGACATCGAGCATGGAACGATCAACATCAGCGTCTGGTAGATGCTGCGCCCTGCAGCCTGAGCAACCGCAGTGGGGTTCGATTTTCTTCACTTTTGTTTCGGGTTCTGGCGGGCGTACGTGGGCCGACTGTGCTCCAGTCCCCTTTGTGCTGCTTTATGTGGTGTGACGTTAGGCGTCGCATGGTCACCATCATCCTGATCAGAGTTGACTGGGGCGTCGAATCAGATTAACAATTGGGGTGGGGAGTATCGCTGTCAGAGAATTCAGCTTTGCTGTCGGAGCGTCAGCGGCCTACGCAGCCGCGCTAGGCTTGTCTGCGGCCTCGTTTTTGCAGCCAAAGATTTACGTTTTGCGAGTCTGTCGTGAACGGCACCCTCCCCCCCCCCCTCCGAGACCCTGGGGGCGGCTCGAGGCTCCCAACACGACGTGGTCGTCCCCAGAACGTGTCCCATCGCAGGGAATAGTGTCCCCAGGAGGTGCCCCATCACAGGGGAGAGTGTCCAAGGAGGTGTCCCATCACAGGGAAGAGTGTCACCAGAAGGTGTCCCATCACAGGGAAGAGTGTCCCTAGAAGGTGTCCCATCACAGGGAATAGTGTCCCCAGGAGGTGCCCCATTGCAGGGAAGAGTGTCCTTAGAAAGTGCCCCATCACAGGGAAAAGTGATATTCTGTGTTTCTGGGACGCATCACTCTTCCCTCTGTGCGCCCAGTGCGGACGCGTGGCACGTGAGCGACGTCGTGTCACGTGGTCACACGACACGCGTGTGCTGCCGCCTCGCGTGAACATGTCCTGCCTGACATGTATGCCGCCTTCTTGTGTGAACATGTGCTGCCCGACGCGTGTGCTGCGGCCTCGTGTGAACATGTCCTGCCCAACATGTATGCCGCATTCTCGTGTGCACATGTCCTGCCCGACGTGTGTGCTGCGGCCTCGTGTGAACATGTCCTGCCCGACACGTATGCCGCCTTTTCGTGTGAACATGTGCTGCCCGACACGTGTGCCGCCTTCACGTGTGAACATGTGCTGCCCGACACGTGTGCTGCCGCCTCGTGTGAACGTCTGCGGTTCTCGGATGCCAAGCACACGGTCCCGGATCTCCCCTGCAGCAATCTAACGTGCCGTATGACGTCTGGAGCTTTCGCCGTCGCATCATCTGTGCCGCTACGATGCTGTGACGTCACACGGCACGGTTTCACTGGTGCGCTGACGACACCGTTGCTGCTGATGGCCGGGGCCTGTTCCGCCCGGGGCTGCGCCGTCGGCGGTCCACGCCGGCCTCACGCTCCGCCCCGTCGGCGCCGAGTGACCGCCGGCGCGGCCGCGCCCGGCTCCGTGCCTTGACGTCGCCCCTGGGGGGGGGGGGGGGGGGGAAGGTGTTGACCCATTGTCGGCAGCGGCGGCCCTATTGCCTCAGCGGTTTGGCTCCCCGGACGTGAAAGCCTGGCGCCGCCCCTGGCCGGTGACTGGGCAGGGATCGCTCCGGTTTCTCGTGGCGAGGGGTTAGTTGGGCTGAGGGATGGGCTTGAGCTGCTCAGAGCTCCTCTGCGGTGGCTGGGTCCGCCGGCGGTGGCTGGAAAGCTCGCGCTGTATGCGCGCGCAGGACGTTTTTCCGCCACCGCTGAGTGCTGCTCCACCACCAGCGGCACCGGCGCACCCGTTCGCCTTGGAATTCGGGTGTTCCCAGTGATGGGACGGCTGTCTGTCTGTCCACGGCAGTTAACCGGACTGTCGACCCCGACGACGGGTGTGCCGTGCGCGGCTGAGAAACGATGCCTGTCAATGGCCGCTCGTCGGAGCCGTTTCCGGGGTGAGAGGCAGCTAAGTTGGGAGCGAGCTCGGCTTCCGCACTGAAGGCCTGTGTTCGGTTCTTGCCACGAGTCATAGTCTCTGGACGCCTCTATAGCCACTGCAGTCAGATGCGCTGCATAAAGGTTGGCGCGGCCGTTGTAAAAGGAGCCGTTTTCTGTGAGCGTCATCGAGCTAAGACGCGCTTTGACTGGGTTTGCAGGCTTTAGATACAGTGAGCTGCCATGGGTTGTGCATCGAATGTTTGGACGTGAAGCGAGGAAGTCGGGTAGCAGAAGCCTATCCGGGCGCCAACATGCATGACTCATGGCGTAGGACGCCGGGCGGCGATATTAAAGTGGGTGGCTCTATGGGGCGGCTGCATTCAAAATTGGAATTGATTGGAGCTCCCGGCGAAGGCTTGCACTAGAAATGGCGCTTGGTATTCATGGATCCCAATCCGAGGCCACAATAGCTGCATTCCAGCCTCGAACGACCGTTCAAAACGTCCGAAAGGCACCCGTTTCCGCACGGCACGAAATTTGATAGGCTATCGTTGTGAAGCCCGGTCGCTGGGCTCTACAAGACGGATCCGGCATCGCGAGCAAGCTCCAAACATCGTGACCGTCACCTGAGAACCAAGCGTAGGACCAGTTCGTATTGCCATGGGGAAGGGGAGGGGAGGCTTGGTCGGCTTCTTTTTAGTCCTCTCACCGTGACTTAGTTCCGGCACCCCACATACACTTCCGAGCTTTTTGCGTTGGGGCGGTACGTAGAGAAGTTGTTTACATCTACGACGCGACGTGATAGCGATGCCTTTTTTCCTAGAAGCATATCACCTCCCTCGATATGCCAGAAATGACCGACGCGCCTGAATCACCGCCGCTCAGAAACAGTTTACGGGATCGTGGATATAACATAGCTGTCCATGTTGTGTGCTGTGACGCACTTCAGCTCAAGACCAGGAGGGGAATCCGGTCGACAGCAGTTCCAGTCTGGAACGGCCCGCTGGAGACTGATACTCTGACACGGCGATCCACGACTCCGCTGCCTCCGCTGTTCCTGTCGTCGGTCACGCCCCGAGCGTGTCGGGTGTGACCTGCGCTGACTCCGCTGTCGCTGCCGCCGGTCACGCCCCGAGCGTGTCGGGTGTGACCTGCGCTGACTCCGCTGTCGCTGCCGCCGGTCACGCCCCGAGCATGTTGGGTGTGACCTGCGCTGACTTCCGCTGTCGCTGCCGCCGGCACGCCCCAAACGTTACGGGGTGACCTGCGCCGACATCCTCTTTCGCTGCCGCCGGTCACGCCCCGAGCGTGCCGGGTGTGACCTGCGCTGACTCCGCTGTCGCTGCCGCCGGTCACGCCCCGAGCGTGTCGGGTGTGACCTGCGCTGACTCCGCTGTCGCTGCCGCCGGTCACGCCCCGAGCGTGTCGGGTGTGACCTGCGCCGACTCCGCTGTCCCTGCCGCCGGTCACGCCCCGTGTCTGCCAGGTGTGACCTGCGCCGACTCCGCTGTCCCTGCCGCCGGTCACGCTCCAAACGTGCCAGGTGTGACCTGCGCCGGCCTGGACCGCGCCCTCCGGGCCCGGCCGGCTCCGGTCGGGCCGGGAGGGCGGTGCGATGTACCCCGGGATTGGTTCGCCGGACGTCACGCCGTCACGCCGTCACGCCGTCACGCCGTCACGCCGCTGCCAGCAGCTCTCGACTCACGTCGCCGCACCCTCTGTTGCAGCTTCTCACCAACCCCGTGAAGACGGCCCGCGTGAAAATACAGAAACACATGAAGAAGCGCACTGCAAAGAAGAGGAGACTGATGCAGGACAAACAGGTCGGGTTCAAGCGAAGAAAAGCGTCGTGATGGCTGGTTGTGGCGCGGTCACGTGGGTACTGTTGCGTGGTGTGGCGACATGGGTGAAATAAATGCTCTCAGGCTGCGTTGATATCTATATCTTGTGCGAGATGAATAGGGGGGATTTGTCTTTTTCATCCTTTGTTCCCTTGTCTTTCTGTGCTCATTGTTTCCGGTGATGCCACCTGCTGTCTATACGGATAAGTGGATGTTGATTCAGGTTAGCGCCAAAGCAGGGAAGTTGAAATGACGAAACAGGCCAATGATGTCAAGCTCTTCTGCAAAATTATCGAGAATGCATAAGGCCTAGGGGTTGCATTTTCACGTTACGTGCATTGTTCGGCAAATTTCAAAATCTGCTCGTAACACCAGTGGGTTAGTGATGTTACGAGCGCCGTAGATATGCGGTAATTCTATGTTTCTTGTTTGGTCGTCACTCAGCTATGATATTCGAAATCTCCCGACCACATGCACTGAGTCACTTCCGGGCAAGTGGTGAGCTGTCTGTTGGAATAGGCATGTGCCTGCAGCCGAGCCAGCTCTGCCAATGCCGATCAATCCTTTTGTTACAAAGTCTGTGGGCGTAACCAAATGGAAATGTCACCGGAAAATGCAAAGCAAATTTCCGGGGCATTCCCTATTCCGTCGTCACTGAAAGAGAACGTGACAAGCCGCTGCTATTTCGGTAAAATAAACCCAGCGCTTGTCAGCGATCAAAGAGCTCATCACGAGCGCGGTGGCCCGCTTCCGGCGGCAGCGGTGGGGGCTGACCGGGCACGTTCCTCGGGCGCGGTGGTGCGCCCTCAAGCGCCGCTCCGGCTGCGGTCAAGGTCAGCGGTGTCGGCCGACCCGGAAACCAGCGTGACGGGCGCTGCCTGCCTCGCCGCCGCCTCTCCCGCCCGTTATGTAAGCCGGCAACACACCTCGGCAGTGACTGGGCGTTCGGCACGCGCCGTGTGCCGCGCGTGCTTCCATTCCGTCGGCACGCCGGACCGGCCGCCCGCGCCCGCCGCCGACGCGGAGCTTGGCGGGCGTGGGCTCCGCTGGCCGCCGGCAGGCGATCGCGTTCTGCTCGGTGTGCGGCCGGCGGCGGCGCCCGCGGCCTGCCGCGGCTGTAAAAACGCGCGTTCAAGCATCCGCTGCGGCGAAGAGCGGCCGGCCGAACCCCGCCGAGCGCTGGCCGCATGCGCTCCAAAGTCCAAATCACCACCACCGAGCGCTTGCCGCATGTTCCGCCGCGTCAGAGCGAGTAATGACCCTGCATGGGCCGCCGCGGAGAGGGGAGGGGGATGGAAGTGCGCATACCGCGCTGTGTGGAGGGTGGAGCTGAGCTGGCGACGAGTCCGCCGGGCTGAGCAGATATGGTCCGCGGATGCGCACCAGCAGATGACGGTCTTATTGTCCCACCGTCGTCGAAGCCCCCCTGCTCACCACGTCTGCTGCGCCCTCTGCAGTTGATGGGGCGCAGCAGGACGCGAATCGAATGCCGGCGGGGATGACCGGGCGAGACGCAGCCGCCCGCTGTGAACAAAGCCGGGGATCCGTTCCGGTGCACAGATGGGCGTGAGCGGTCGTTGCACCCGCTCGCCGTGGAAACCCAGGCGGAGCTCCAAAAAAGAGCGGTAGTTACGGCCGCCGCGGCTACTGCGGTCGTCTGAGCCTGTTGAATGCTCCCTCGGGCTCGGTTCCCATGCCGCGCTGCTGGTCGCGCTGCCTCCACCGCAGGCGGCGTGGTCCAGGCTGAGGGAGGGCAGGCCCCGGATATGCAGCCGCCGCGCAGGTCTGCCGTCTTGTGCGGAAGGGGTGGGGTGGGGAGGGGGGCTCTGGAACCACCAGAGCGCAGCCAGCTATCACCAGCCTCGCTTCCACCCCCGAACGTTCGCGTGTATCGTGCGCATGCACCGGGAGGGGGTACGCGCGGTGACACCCAACTCCAGGTTAATACCCCTGGAGAGGAAGCCAAAGAGTCACGCATGTCCCGCTTAATACTTAACATAGTCGACGGGTGGAGCATTGGGACGTGTTTTAGTTACAGTTCACTTAATTATTTGAATCCGTTCCCATGTTTCAGGGGAAGGAGAAGGGATTATCTTTACAGGGGTTAGAGGTCCGTGTTGGCATTTAGTCGCAAGCTCAGCTCCAGCGTGGCTTAAGAGCTTACAGAGAAGCCCAGGACAAAATCTGAACGTTTTATAGCTTCCATCGATTACGGTCAGTTACGAAACTCACGTTGTTGGGGTTCACCTACAAAGTTCTGTTTTTTTAGCTTCCAGGAACGAGCAGAAAGCTCTAGTTTTATAACAGCTTCTCAACCCAACAAATCAAGAACATCTGAAACACTGCAACCTCTGCTTTGTCTCTGGCCGCAGCGTAGACCGGAGACAAAGCGTGGAGCAGAACGCCGCCATAATGAATAAAAGCGCCAGACGCACCAGATGTTGCTGTCCTCCCACCAAGCTCATGCTAAAGTGAAAGCTTTGGGAAACTACTGCATCGCAAGGAAAAACTAATCCCGGCAAAAAGAAAAATAGTCAATCAGGTCAGTCGATTAAAAAAGGGGAACAGATGTAATCAAACAAGAAATAAAATCAAGTTCAACCAGGGGATTCCGTAGACTGCCGCGGCCGTCTGCAGTCTACATATCGAGCTCAGGTACATGTGGCACACCCACTCCCGCCATGGCAGAGCTGCGGCGGCCCGTGCTTTGATGGCGGACGCGCGGCTGGCTATGGCCACGCCCACTGGCGGTGCCTCTGTCGGACCACAGCGGTAGTCACGAGAGGCGATTGTTATTGAGGTCTTAAGTGCGGCCCCATACATTGTCAGGAACTTCTTTAGATGTGTGGAACTCTTGAGACGGGAGACACCGTGAATCTGCAAGTACGATACAAACATCACAAGCAGGGAATGTGGTTGCCGGGGTGTCATAAGAACTTTATTGATATATCTGTTGCTTTTAATATTGCAGGCCCCAGAACCTTCCCGAACTATCCTATTTTGCGGGTTTTTTTCGAGCACACGAACTTGCGTCACGGACGTCCATGTTACGAGCACGTCATGTACAGATAGATACGAACATATGTGGTGCAACAATAAGCGGTTATGAAAAAAAAATCGCACAAATAACCGAAATGCGCTATGCCGAATATAGTTTTGCCGAACGCATTTAATCGAATGCTATTTTATCGACGTATGTTTGCACCGCCGTTTCCATAAAGCGAAATGCTAAAAATCTAAAGGCGGTTTGCCAACATGTGTCCCTGCCGACGAGTCAAATTGGTGAAACGTTGGCAGGTAAGGATGAATATTTACCAAATGTCAATCCGACGAATGTCAATGTCCTTAAGCTGAATGCCAAGTTGCCAAAATGATCTTCAGTCGAATGCTGATTGTGTTTTTAGTCGAATGCTGATTTGCTGAAATGCTCTGGTCAAATGCTAACCAACTGAAATGTTCTTAAGTCGAATACAAAATGCTCTGGTCAAATGCTAACCAACTGAAATGTTCTTAAGTCGAATACAATCAGTTGAAAAGTTGTTGAGTGGGTTGCTTACCACCGAAATAATGCGTTGTTGTCGAATTCGTATTCGCGAAGACGATCTTCAGTCGAATGCTAATTAGCTGGATGTTCTTAAGTTTAATGCTTATAGGTCAACAAAACCCTGTGGGGGTTATTCGACGCCCAAGCATATATAGAAAGAAAGTTGCCAGTAAGCGTCAGCGTTCACCACAACGACTGGAGGACTATCTCTAAATTATTACAACGAAAACAACGCTAATCAAACGCAGTCCCAAAGCAACATTTGTGCATTGAGCCCCGAACGAAGGTCACGATTTTGCAGGCATTTCTCATATATGCTCGGATCCGCGTTGTTTTTTGCTGCTGCCAAAATTATACCTTAAGGGTGGTGGTTGCAGCACCATGATCCATTGTCGCTCATCGCGGTGCCACGTGTTCACCTAGTGGCTTGTACGCTCTACTTAAACGTGCGTTTCCGTGTTATTCATTAAACTTGTTACGAGCACTAGTCTTCGCTTCTCCCACATAAGGTTTCCCTGGGCAGAGGTTGTGGGAGGCTTATGTGCTACGTTCTTCCGTGGGCGTTCCCCTTTCAGCCAACTAGCACGTTGGGGGAACCCCACTTCGAGCTCGAAACGCCAAGGTCTCAAAGCCTGTTTGAACTAGTTGGACTTTTAAAAAATATCTCAAGTGCACACTGCCCTAAGGCGGTGCAAACCACTCGATGCTGCGGTAAAGGATTCACCTGTTTGCTCATGTTGTCAACCGCAAGCGGGGTTTTTGCATACGCAAAGTTTGCTTTTCAGCTTTCTACTTCTTTGCGAACGGGGTGCATCGTTAAATTGAAAACGTTTGGCACCAGAGGCAGCCCTCCCTCGATCTTCCGGATATCCGTTTTCACGGCAAATGTGTTTTTTTTTATCGCGACTATGGTCACACCGCAGGGACTCAGAAGATACACGCTCATCGCATCGCTTTCCGCACGCGTGATGTAAGGACCGTTTTTAAGCAGCCATGGCTGTGCCGAAATTTTGCTCATGGCTTTAAAGTACAGTGCCGCGGTATGTCTTCCACCTCAGTCTGCACCAGCGACGACCCTAGTGAGAGGTGCAGCGGTTAGCTGCGCGCCGCCCCTCCGGTCTTGCGAAGGCCACCTGTGATAAACCCCGGCCAGTGACGATGGACATAATTAATGAACCAGAGAAAACGGTTGTCGTCTTTTCGACGTTACCGTGGAGACAGAGGGCATCGATATTGTAGCTCAGCCGCGCAGAGGAAGTGATGAGATACGTGTTTGCTCCCTTGATGTGATCTAATATTTTCGGCAGGTCGCAAACAGGTGTTACAGACTGACAGTTTCTACTTCATTTCGATCTGCACAATGATCCCTATGCGGAGAGCACAACGCTGCGCTGCTCCGCTGCTGTCGACCTTTTACTGCTGTTTCGAGGGTCTCGTGCACCCAGACCCTTGGTCGCCCAGTCTGTTTGTCAGTGGCCCTACTTTACTTTGCCACCAGCCGGCGGCACCGGCGAGCCCCGATATTGTGCGATCGCGTG